ATAAATATATGAAATATTACCTTTTTGTGCGTATATCCAAGTCGGTGTATAGCCCTCCAAATTGTTGTAAGACTAATGTTACGTCCCAACCAAAGGTTCATCTCAGATTGTAATTCATACAAGTATCAGTCAGGTTTTTCTTTCATTAAAATTTGAAGATAATTTATATCATTCATGTTTAAAGAATGTGATTTTCTCAAAAGTGATGGAAGTTTTTCAATACAACCATATTTTTGAAAATGCACAAGAATCCGACTTATAGAAGACCTGCTAACACCTAAGTGTTTTGCAATTTTTCGAGTTGATAGGCCTTCTAATTTTTTTCAATAATTTGCCAGCGAATGTGGTTTGAAAATATCATATTTTTTGAATTCAACAAGAAACATGCATAATTTTTTATTTATATTAGCCACCTGATATTAAATTATGTATATATTATAGTATTATATCAATTTTTATTGAATTTATTATGCCAAAAAAATTACCGGCCGAAAAATTTTTTGACAAATTTTTTTATAGGTGTCCAAGGAATAATAAAAACAGCTGTAACATTACATGGAATCTGAAAATCGGGTCGGTCGGTCGATTTTTTTTTAATAGAATTATGTTCGTATTTTAAGGTTATGCAAAAATAAATAGCAAAAATCGAATAATTGGCACAATTGAGATGTAAAAAAAAAATAAAAATTTTTAGAAAAATTAAAAAAAAATGGGTCGGCGGGTAATGTTAAACGAAAAATTAACTTTGCGTGGCCTAATATATAATAATTTAATAATTTGATGCTGACATTTTAAAAGAATACGATGCTTCTTACTTCTTCGAAACATCACAAGTAATTTAAAATTGGTTCATTCTAATTTTCTTTATCATCGTCGCTGTTAAGTTTGAAGTCATTTTTATCACATAATTTTCATATCTTGTTTCGTATGTATGAACCACAAGTTTTTCCATCCATATTAAATATTAACGTTAATGTTAAAATCTTTATACAGCATACGGAACAATACAATGCAGTATAACGATAATGATAATCGAGAAAAGTTAAACGTCATATTCACGTGATGATCAGTAAAGTCAGCTCAGGGACACGGAAAAATTTCGACATCATTTTGCAAATATTGTTTTTTATTTCGATATAAAAATTTGATTAAAGTACAGTATAACGAGTCTAATTTCTATTTTACATGCATTTTTTGCAGATACTTGACAATGGCATTTAATCTGCTTATCAAAACTGACAATTATTAGCTGTTATTACAAAATTCAATAACTATCCGTATTTGAAATTCCACCAACACGAAAAAGATTGCTATAGTATTACTATAATCTTTTTTTCACGTGAAGTTGCACAACCAAACAAGCAATATGATTGGTGTGTTAAAATAGCCAACCAATCATATTGGCCGTGTAACTTCACATGCATAAAAAAATAGAAAAATTGTTTTATAATGCGATATTTAATAAAAATTGTGATTTATTATTTTCTAATCTTTTCGAAATTTTTCCGTGTCCCTGCGTCAGCTACATTTTTATGAGTGATACTAGGCTGTGAAGATCACCTTGAGCTTTTTTTTTTAAAAAAAAATTAATATTTACCCATTTGAACCATCGTTATTAACTCACTAAAAAATCAGTACCGTATTGGCACATACCGTATAGTCGCGAAATAACGCGCAGGGGTGTAATTTCGAATTTCGGCCTAAATCAAGCTTAATTCGGGCCGAAATTCGAAATTACACCCCTGCGCGTTATTTCGCGACTATACGGTAATAACGCGCATGCGTGGTAATTCGAATCAATTTGACGAATTTGGGTTACAAGAGGAAGTCCTAGTATTATTAATGAACTTAGCCTGAAAAATTGATCAAAATATGTAATATGGTACATTTAAGGGCGTGTTATTTTGGGACGCGCATGGATGTTATTTTGAATCAAAAAAAAACAATTTTCGAAAAAATGAGAGTTTCAAAATAATGCCCATGTGCGCGACATAACATTGTCGTATAATATCGCACATCATATGAGTCTTCAGATTAATACTTCAAAGAGATGATTATTTTACAAGTTAATCGTTTATATTTTTTCATTGAACCATGTTAACAACTTTTTATAATCGACCTTCATTATTATATAAGTAAATTTTTTCTCAAAACAAGCTTTTACAACTCTTTTCTTTTCAGCCAATTTGTTTTCAGAAAAAATATTTTCAAATGCATATCATATTGTAGCTTTGGATGAAAATGATAAGTTTATGATTTTTTTTATTCTGTTTTAACCCATTTTATAGTTAATTAATCAATTCAAAATTATTATACGTTGTTTATTTGACTTGCCATTTTTATGCAGTAGAATTAGCTTGCAGCTCCTACACAGTAATTGTTGCAGTTCTTCGTTTCTGAACTGAAGGTAATAATGGATTTAATAATGATACTTCTGCACTGGTAACATTAACTACGGGAGCTTTTTTGGCTCTTTCAACTCACATCAACATCAATTTCCAAATTTCAAGTTTTGCTTCATTTCGGTTAAAGAAGGTTCAATGAGTGAAAGTATTAAAAACTAATGGATACGTTATTAAAAAAAGTCACACAAATTTCAATTACGAATCATATTTTATTTTAGTAGGTCAATAACGATGACCTAAATGGGTCAATGTCAATGTTTTGCTTTGGAATCAATTCCTTAACACAGAATTAAATGTTTAATTTTATCTAAAAATTAACAATTTGGTTTATTTTTGTTCTTCGAAATTTTATTAATTATTTGATATTGCATATAATGATAAACATGTATCATTAATATATTTTGATTTCGGGTAGCTTTTTAATCGTTTGGCTGGTTATACATTGTTGGGGTCTGTTAACGATAAACGATACGTAAAGACATCGGTCTGAATTAGTATGTTATCAAATATCGATATCTCGAATCTTTATCTTTATGCGAACTTTTCCGGTAGTTAATGTGTATAGGTTCTAAATTTTAAATTTACCTGTTATGCATACCTTACAACATTTAGCGATCAATTTAAGAGAAAGGTAATTTTATAATGATTTTGGAATTTGCCAGCAAGTATGGTTATTAATAAAAATGTAATTTATGAATCAAAATTCTACAGAGAACAAAATTTGCTGTATAATACACTGATCTAAATAAGAACCTCGACTTATATTAATTGAAACAAAAGCTGTTGAATTAGGATATCAATATATCTTTATGTAAACATTTAATACAAATATAATGAATGAATGTAATAGAAAAGGGTAGCTAATTAATTTAACCAGAATAACCTTTGCGAGGGTTTAATTTAACCAGTACTAATTGGAATAACCTTTGCGAGGGTAATTATCTTGCGTTTAGCACGGTTAGTTAAATCCCTACCAATTAAAGGAAATGAACATATATCAACAATGCCATTAGTAAAATCCTCATAACGCGTTTCCACACACTCTTTCATGATTTTTGTACCACAATTCATCCATGCAAATTCAATTATTGGTTCTTGAACCTTAAAACGAAACTTGAATATTCTAATCGCTTCTTGAATCAATTTTTCAGCCTTTTCCTCAACCATGTTCCTTTTTTTAGAATCATTGAGTACACGATAATTATTCATTGTATCATTTAATTTTCTTTGGTATATAAACAGAAATGGATGTTGTGTATTCTCAAACTTATTTTCGTCTACATTAGCGTATCCACGATAACCAAGTATAGCATAAATCTGTTGACGTAATTTTATAGGTGCTACACGAGTAATATCATCTGCACCGACACGTTCATATGAGAATCTCTTAATGAGCTCAATTAAATCATCGGCTTTCTGAATAATATCTAATTCGAGTCCTTCATGAGATGTATCTACATATGAGAGAATTTCTTTCAAGACGTGCTGTTGTAGAATGGCTTTGATTAATTGTCTATTTGGCGTATGAGTAATAATTTTTGTGCGAGATCCATATTCCAATAAAAGTTTATTGACATTTTCAAAATTTATTTCTATACCATTTTTCAAATTTGTAACATATTCTTCAATCATATTTTGTAAATTTTCAATATCAGATTTAAGATGCATAGGGTTATTCTGATCGTCGTCACTAAATCGAAAATTTGTTGCATTACCCAGTGCTAGTTGATATTTAGATGCCTCATCTTTTAATTTTATATTTTCTTTTTCAAGAAAATTGATCCGTTTCTCAAAAATATCGATTTGCTGATTTTGCATAAGTAGATTAGTTTGCAATTTTTGTAATAGGTGTTTACAATTTTCATAGTCTTTTCGTAATTTAGTAAGAGATTCTTTGCATTTTTGATTCTCATGGTCTAATTGCTCGACCATTAAATTCTTTTCTTGGATTTCTCCCTTAAGTTCCTCAATTTTTGAATTAGCGAAAAGAAATTGAAAAATCTGAACTATAAATTCAAAGATCCACATTTTAGCAGTTGGTTCCGTAGTAGCGATAAGAAAACTAAAGAGTTTTTTTTTTTTCAAAACTAAGTCTTTATGTACAAATTCTTGCGTTGCCTTCATGACACACATACAGGAAAAAGTCTAATAAATTCAATGTAGTAATTTATATATTTTTTATACTCAAAAATTTTCTAAAGAAATTACGTAAACTTACACTATTATATTCTTACATACATAACTGATATTTTTATCTAATATTTTTTCCTCATTTATTTGACTATCTAGATTTGTTAACCAAATGACATCGATCGTACGTAGTCATAAAATACTAAAATTCTATTATGATAAACAATAAAATTAAACTTTTCAAATTAAACTCAAGAAACATATACATTTTGAGACAAAAATTGATATAAAAAAGTAATAATTTCGTTATTTCAGAAGATTAACAACTTTGATACGCTTCTTTCAATATGTCTGAAACAAACGACACTGTTGAGACTCCCACTGTTGAGACCCCCGCTGTTGAGACTCCCGCTGTTGAGACCCCCGCTGTTGAGACACCCACTATGGATGATATAAATGAAATTGACAGGTTAAATCTATCTTTCAAAAAATTATTCGACGCTGCTTTTAAAATTGAAACTTGTTCAGAATCAAATGACATTCGTGTAGTAGCAGCAATTGGTAAATTCAAATCAACTTTTTATCACAACTATTAAAAACTTGAATTTATACTTAATGTTATTCTATTTCAAAAACTTTCAGATTTCGGTACCACATATTCGGTGGGAACATATTCATGAGTTTATATATATATTTATTTATACATTTTATACATTGCATTAAATATTCACACGCTTATAATAATACAAATTTTTAATATAGGGATATGCTTACGCTCATCTACAAACTAAACCTTTAGATATTATAACCTGTGTTGTATGGCCAGAATATTATGGTATAGCAAAAGTACCAACGGTGTTAAAGTACAATGAATCTTTTGAAGTTATAGATTGGGGTTATCCTGCATTGATTAATTTAGATCGAAAAAATATCAATCAAATGTCCAATATGAAACCCGTAGAATTATTTAAACTTCATTTAAGTAATGATAAAGACCTGAAAAATAAGCCTTATCTCCCTCCCGGACTTGATTATAAGAAAGCTATAATTGATTATTTACGTAAGATAGGTGATTCACTTAAAGAGGAATTGACCCGATGGCCAAATATTGATTACTTCAAGAATGTTCGCCTAGTTTTGACTGTATGTAAACATATAAATATTTTAACATTTTTATACTATACAGTACATACCTTATATAAAAGCTAATCTACATATTAATATCTAATATATTATACGATATATAGATTCCTGTAGAATTCGATAATGATGCTATATCTATTATGCGTGATTGTGCATATGAAGCTGGCTTGATGAAATATAAGCATGGTCCTAATTTATTATTTGTACATGAACGTACGAAAAATTTCAAAAATTTCATATGTTTTTCATTACAATTATTAGAATTCATTTATTACTTTATCACACCATAACAAATTGTTTTTTTTTTCAATAGCTGAAGCAGCTGCGGTGCATTGCTTAAAGTCATCTGGTGAATTTGATTTGTCAGTTGGAGGTACATATAGTATATATTCAATTTCCGTATTCATTCAAACAAAATGTGTATTAATATTGTTAAATTGGTGCAATACAAGATACTTTCATGGTAGTAGATTTAGGCGGTGGTACGGTTGATATAACGACAATGAAATTGTTAGTAGGAGGCAAATTAAGTGAAAGAATTGAGAGTAAAGGTGATTATTGTGGTGGAAGTTATGTAGATCAAGAATTTTTAAATTTTTTAGCAAAAAAAGTTGGTGAATCAACAATTAAAAATTTAAAAGAACATCATTACGGACAAATTCAACGTGTGATTCATGTTTTTCGTAAACGAATTAAACATCGGTTTACGGGGAAAAGTGAAGATTTTACTGATTTTGAATTGGATTTGGAAGGTAATTTTATATTTAAATTCTTTATTTTATCACTTAAAAACATACCAATATATATATATATATATATAATATAATGTACTATTATACCTTATATTTTGCAAATTTTACAAATTTTATGCATATAGATACATGTCCAATTATAAAGGAATATGTGACTGGTACCCTAAAGGACGACTTAATAACCATAAAATATGATGATGTAAAAGCTATGTTTGATCCCATTATTGATAAAGTTATCAAATTAATTCATGGACGACTCGAAGCTCTTGATTTTAATTGTTCTGCCATATTATTGGTCGGAGGATTTAGTGAATCCAAATATTTGGTTTCCAAGATTAGAAATGTGTTCAGCCTAATAGTTCCAAATATCTCCGTTCCTTCTAATCCTATGCTCGCCATAGTTAAAGGCGCCGTACAATTTGGGTCTTCACAAAGAATCATTGTTGATCGTATTTTGAAATGGACTTATGGTATAAATTTTTTATGTTAATTATTAGAAAATTAAAAAAATTGCGTTTCTTAAATCAACTCTATATTGTAATACATAGGAACCGATGTTGTAAGAAAATGGAAGCCTGATGATCCTCTAGATCGAAAAATTGGTGAACATATCAAGATTTTTAGCAGATTGGCGAAAAAAGGGGAAAGAGTAGCTGTAGGTGAAAAAGTTGTAAGGATTTTTTCAACGGCACACGTCTTTCAATTTTTGATGGGTCTTGATTTATATGTCACACGTGATAAAGATGCAGAATATTGTGATAGTCCAGGTGTAGAATTACTTGATACCTTTAATATTAAAGTACCTATTACCGGTGAAGAAAAGCGTGCAATCATATACGTTATGAATTTCGGTATGGTCGAAATTCAAGTTACCGCTGTCAATCCTGAAAATGGAAAGAAGTATGAGAGAGTATTTGATTTGGATATTTGAATAATTTAATTATGTATTAACTTTGTAACCTTTTTTTTTTTTCGAACTTACTGCTAATTAAATAAATTTTGCAACGAGAATTATAAAAATTACGCAACGATAATGACAAAAAAAAATAAAATGAAATAAATCAATTAATTTAGTATTTTACAAAGAGCTTCTGTTAATACTTTTCTTCCTTCAAAACCAAGTTGATTATCACTTATATCAAAATGAGTTAAAGTAAAATTTTTGGATAAAGATTTTGCTAATATTTTCCCTCCTTTGGATAAAAGTTTATTATTGCAAAGATTTAAAAATGTCAAAATTGTATTCTTATAAAGAGCTTCAGCTAATATTTTCGCATCCTTAGGATCAAGATTATTATCATAAAGTATTAAGGAAGTTAGAGTAGTATTTTTGTAAAAAATATTGACAATTGCTTTTAATTCCTCTAAATTAAATCGAATGTTAGAAAGTTCTAAGGAAGTAGTAGTAGTCTCTTTTGGAAGAATATCTATTAATTGCATTGTTATTTTATCATTGGTCCCACAAAGCTTTAAGCTAACAATCTTTTTACTATTTTTACTAGTTTCCGGAGCAGAGCGGAGGAACTTAAGTTTTTCCGGAGCAGACATTAGTGAGAGAAAATGGGTTCCGTGTGGATTTTAGGGGGTGTAAAATAAGATAAAAAGTT